ACCAAAGCCAGGAAAGGATGCAACAAAAAAAGAAAATTACAGACCAATATCCCTCATGAATATAGATGCAAAAATCCTAAACAAAATTTTAGCAAATAGAATTCAGCAGCACATCAAAAAAATAATGCACCATGACCAAGTGGGGTTTATTCCTGGCATGCAAGGCTGGTTCAACATACGCAAGTCTATAAATGCAATCTAATTTATAAATAAAGTCAAGAACAAAGACCATATGATTCTGTCAATAGATTCAGAAAAAGCATTTGCTAAAGTCCAACATACCTTTATGATAAAAACCCTTAACAAAATAGGCATAGACGGCCCATACCTTAAATTTATTAAATCCATTTATGACAAACATCATTCTAAATGGGGAAAAATTGAAATCATTCCCCCCTTCGAACTGGAACTAGACAAGGATGTCCACTTTCTCCCCTGCTATTCAACATAGGGCTCGAAGTATTAGCTATAGCAATCAGGCATGAGAAGGGTATTAAGGGCATCCAAGTTGGGTCAGATGAGATCAAACTCTCATATGATATTATATAGATATGATATTATATCTAGAAAACCCCATGGACTCATTCAAGAGACTCCTAGATCTGATAAATGAATTTGGTAAAGTTTCAGGGTATAAAATCAATATACACAAATCAGAAGCATTCATATATGCCAAAAACCATCAAGCAAAAACTCAAATCAAAAACACAATACTCTTTACTATACCTCCAAAGAAAATTAAATGCCTAGGAGTATATCTAATGAGAGATACGAAAGATTTATACAAGGAGAACAATTAAACACTATAAAAAGAAATTGCAGATGATTTAAACAGATGGAAAAATCTACCATGCTCATGCTTGGTAGAATCAATATTGTTAAAATGTCAATATTACCTAAGGTGATCTACAGAATCAATGCAATCCCCATCAAAATAACACCAGCATTCTTTACAGATCTAGAAAAAATAATTCTTTGCTTTGTATGGAACCAGAGAAAACCACGTATAGCCAAAGCAATCTTAAGTAAAAAGAACAAACTGGGAGGGAATCACACTTCCTGACTTCAAGCTGTACTATAAGGCAATAATAGTAAAATCTGCCTAGTACTGGCACAAGAACAGAAACATCGATATCTGGAATAGATCTAAGATTCCAGAGGTCAAACTATCTGTATATGGTAACCTAATCTTTGATAAAGCAGACAAAAATATACTATAGGGAAAAGATTCTCTCTTTAATAAATAGTGCTGGGAAAACTGGTTAGCAACATGCAGAAGAACAAATCAGGACCCCAACCTCTCACCTCTCACAAAAATTCACTCAAGATGGATAACAGACCTAAACCTAAGGCATGAAAGTTTAACAATCCTAGAAGAAGATGTTGGGAAAAACCTATCAGATATTGGTCTAGGCAAAGAATGTATGAGGAAGACCCCCAAGGCAATCACCGCCACAGCAAAAATAAACAAATGGGATCTGATCAAATAAAAAAGTTTCTGCACTGCCAAGGAAACAATCATTAGAGCAAATAGACAACCCACAGAATGGGAGAAAATATTTGCTCTCTACACTTCAGATAAAGGTCTAATAACAAGAATCTATCTAGAACTTAAAAGAATAAACAAGAAAAAAATCAAACAACGCCATCAAGAAATGGGCAATGGAAATGAACAGAAACTTTTCCAAAGAAGACAGAATAATGGCCTGCAAACATATAAAAAAAGTTCAACATCTCTAATCATTAGAGAAATACAAATCAAAACCACAATGAGTTACCACCTAACCCCAGTGAGAATGGCCTATATCAAGAAATCCCAAAACAACAAATGCTGGCAAGGATGCGGAGAGACAGGAACATTCTTACACTGCTGGTGGGACTGCAAATTAGTGCAACCTTTGTGGAAAAGAATTTGGAGTTACCTCAAACAACTAGACATAGAAATACCATTCGACCCAGCAATAGCATTGTTAGGCATCTACCCAAAAGAGCATAAGACATTCTATTATAAAGACATCTGCACCTAAATGTTTATAGAAGCACTATTCACTATTGCACCGTCATGGAATCTACCCAAGTGCCCGTCAATTCATGAGTGGATAACTAAAATGTGGTATATACTCACAATGGAATATTACTCAATCCTAAGAAATGATAGTGAACTAGCACCGTTTATGCTATCCTGGATTAAGCTTAAGCCTGTAATACAAAGCAAGACAACACAAGACCTGGAAAATGGGCTACACATCTACTAGCCATCAAATTGGTACTGACAGACTAAAACTATGGTGTTCAAATAATTGTAGTGTTCAACAGGGATTTGTGGGGGAGACCTACATCTTATGGATGTGATGAGCATTGTAGCGGGGAAAGAATTACCTCTATACCTTTTTAGAGAGGGGCAAAGATACACACTGTAACCAAAATGTCTAAAAAAAAATCTGTTATTGGGAGGTGGACAGGTGGAAGGGGGGAGAAGGGGAAGGTTACGCACTTGCATGGTGGGTGCAGTGCACACCACTTGGAGGCTGGACACGCTCAAAGCTCTGGCATAGCAGGATGGGGATGGGGGGCAGGGGCAAGATATGTAACCCTAACAATATTTGTACCTACAGAATTTGAGATAATAAAAAAATTTTTTTAAAAACCTGAAAGTCTGAATGTGTATTACATGTCAGAGAGGTTGCATGTTCAGAGGAAAATATAGAATGAAAATTTGTACATAGCCATTTATTATTCCAAAATGTGTGGCTTTTTTTTTTTTTTTTTTTTGAGACAGAGTCTCACTTTTGTTGTCCAGGCTAGAGTGAGTGCCGTGGCGTCAGCCTAGCTCACAGCAACCTCAAACTCCTGGGCTCGAGTGATCCTTCTGCCTCAGCCTCCCGAGTAGCTGGGACTACAGGCATGCGCCACCATGCCCGGCTAGTTTTTTTTTTTTTTATATATATATCAGTTGGCCAATTAATTTCTTTCTATTTATAGTAGAGACGGGGTCTCGCTCTTGCTCAGGCTGGTTTTGAACTCCTGACCTTGAGCAATCCACCCGCCTCGGCCTCCCAAGAGCTAGGATTACAGGCGTGAGCCACAGCGCCCGGCCTATGTGGCTTTTGATTATACTCCCATGTAGTCTTCATTATAAACATTATGTCTCCTTAATTGCAGAAAAAAGAGTGAAAATATAACCTATGGAAATAATATTTTCCAAATTAATTGAATTTTAAAGCCTCTGGGAGAAAAGATCACGATCACTAATAATGTTATGTTTCACTATGTTACCCCATAGTATATTGTCACCATCTGTTATCTACAACCTTGAATGAGGTGGAATAAGTTAACGTTGGTGGCACAATAACACTTCATTCAGTGCACAACACAGAACACATTAAAAATCTTTGTTTTATTAACATAAATGCAGTTCACATGAAGTCTTAAAAAAGCATTTCAAAATCCACTGTATTATCTTAATATTCAACTGGTAAAAATGTTAATAAAATTCAAAACATCTCTCATATTACACTAAACACCCATCTCACACCTTACTTACAAAATTGTTATAATTCACTGACAGAGCCTCTGCCCTAGATTTTCTTTCTGTATCTTATATTTTGACTGTCTTTAATTTCCCATTGAAGTGTATATAAATAATGCCCACCCAATTTAGAAGAACTTTTAATATCTTTGATGTAGCAACAACTGACCACATTCTTTCTAACAAACACTAGTAAAGAAAGCACAGCATCAACTACTTAGAAGGTTGAATTATGTCAATATTTAATTTTCCAAATATCTGAAATTATTTCAATACAAAAAAGTATATTATGAATGTAATTATTGCTATCCAAAAAATCAGTCTGCTCATTTTAAACCTGCATACAAATAAATTATCTATTTTAACTTTGAATTTTTCTCTATAATTAACCCTCTGCTTTAAAGTAATATCTAAAAGTGTTAGTTCATTAGGGCTTTCTGTGAATTCTCTCATACTTATTTAGACTTGATTGTCTATTAAGTTTTCATTTTTTTACATTTACTGCATCTGTGAAATATCTTTTAGTGTGAATTCTGGTGTTTCCTACGGTGCATTTTTTTTTTTTTTCTTTGAAACAGAGTCTCACTCTGTTGCCCAGGCTAGAGTGTTTCAGCATCAGTCTAGCTCACAGCAACTTCAAACTAGGCTTAAGCGATCCTCTAGCCTCAGCCTCCCAACAAGCGGGGACTACAGGTGCATGCCACCATGCCTAATTTTCTCTGTTTTTAGTAGAGACAGGGTCTCACTCTCGCTCAGGTTGGTCTTGAACTCCTGAGCTCAAGCGATCCTTCTGCCTCAGGCTTCCAGAGTGCTAGAATTACAGGCATGAGCCACTGTGCCTGACCCTAAGGTACAATTTTTGAACAAATGTTCTGCATTCATTACATGTGTAGGGTTTCTCTCCACTCTGAATTCTCTGGAGTTGAATAAAGTTTGACCAGCTATTCAAAGGTTACCTGACTTCTCCTGTGTATCATAAGATCCCTTTTATAAGTAAAGGTATTACAGTACTCTTTATATTTATACTGGAGATATATATATATATATATATATATATTTTTTTTTTTTTTTTTTTTTTTTTTTAGAGTCTTGCTTTGTTGCCCAGACTAGAGTGAGTGCCGTGGCGTCAGTCTAGCTCACAGCAACCTCACTCCTGGGCTCAAGCATCCTGCCTGCCTCTCGAGTAGCTGGGACTACAGGCATGCACCACCATGCCTGGCTAATTTTTTTCTCTATATATTAGTTGGCCAATTACTTTCTTTCTATTTATAGTAGAGACGGGGTCTTGCTCTTTCTCAGGCTGGTTTCAAACTCCTGACCTTGAGCAATCTGCCCACCTTAGCCTCCCAGAGTGCTAAGATTATAGGCGTGAGCCACTGTGCTCAGCCTGTATATTTTTTTGTCTGTAGTAATACCCAGAAGGCATTTATTTTGTGAAAGGTATTACAGCAGTAATTACATTTATATCACTTTTATACAGTATGAACTCTCTGATGCCAAGTAATATGTGAGCAGTTATTAAAGGCATTTCCACATTCTTTACATTTGTAGGGTTTTTCTCATGTATGAATTCTCTCATGTATGGTATGTTAAGAGCACTGGGGAAACACTTTGCCACATTCTTCATATTTGTAGGGTTTCTCTCCAGCATGCATTCTCTTATGTTCTGTGAGCTGTGAGGACTGTTTAAAGGATTTGCCACATTCTTCACATTTTTAGGATTTCTCTGCTGTATGAATTCTCTTATGGTTAGTATAGTTTGAGCGCTGATTAAAAGCTTTGCCACATTCCTCACATTTGTAGGGTTTCTCTCCACTATGAATTCTTTTATGTACAGAAAAGTATGAGGAATTATTAAAGGCTTTGCCACATTCTTCACATTTGTAGGGTTTCTCTCCTGTATGAATTCTCTTATGGTTAATATGGGTTGAGCACTGATTAAAAGCTTTCCCACATTCATTACATTTGTAGGGTTTCTCTCCTGTATGAATTCTCTTATGGTTAGTATGGGTTGAACGCCGATTAAAAGCTTTCCCACATTCATCACATTTGTAGGGTTTCTCTCCTGTATGAATTAGCTTATGTCTAGAGAGGTGTGCATTACGCTTAAAAGCTTTCCCACATTCTTTACATTTGTAGGGTTTCTCTTCAGCATGCACTCTCTTATGTTCAGTGAGGTGTAAGTGCTTCTTAAAAGTTTGGTCACATTCTTCACATTTGTAGGACTTCTCTTCTGTATGAATTGTCTTATGGCTACTAAGGGCTTGGCACCCATTAAAAGCTTTGCCACGTTCCTCACATTTATAGGGTTTCTCTCCACTATCAATTCTCTTATGTATAATAAAGTATGAATACCTGTTAAAGGCTTTGCCACATTGTTCACATTTGTAGGGTTTCTCTCCAGTATGAATTCTCTTATGTACAGTCAGGTGTGTATTCCTTTCAAAGGTTTTGCCACATTCTTGATATTTGTGGGGTTTCTCTCCTATATGAATTCTCTTATGTTTAGTTGGGTCTGAGCACCAGTTACCACATTCTTCACATTTGTACCATTTTTCTTTGATATGAATAATCTTGTGTTTGGAAAGGTTTGAGCTGTGGTTAAATGCTTTGCCACATTCTTTACATTTGTCATATTTCTCTCCAGTATGAATTCTTTTGAGTTCAGTAGAGTGTGAGCTTTCTTTAAAGGCTTTTCCACATTCCTTACATTTGAAAAGTTTTTCTATAACGTCTTATCTTATGTCTATTTAGATCTGACAATTTTCTAAGGACTTTCAAACATTTATTATATTGGAAGATTTGGCAATGGGTAGTTTTTGAACACCGGTTAAATCCATTGTAACAACATATCTTCCCCTTACACTCACTCACACTTTGCCAGTCTTTCAGCAAATTTAAATTCTCAAGATCACATCTTCCAAAACTTCTCAGTATCACTTTTTGGAATGAATCTTTTGTGCTCTGCTCCGGCAAATGGTCTTGAATGTAATAAGAAGACATAGCTGAAAAATAGAAAAACAACAGATTATCCCAATTATTTGGTTTTTTTTTTTCAGACTCTCATAAATATACATTATAAATCTAATATATGATATTATACCAAATACATTACCAGGATAGCTTAATAAAATGCCACTTGTTCTAATTCCTTCATAGACACATAAACTTAATAAAAATGTACTGAAAAAACTGGCTTTGTGAGAATCCTGAAAACTAATTAAATGTTTTGCAGAATCTCAGGAGAGCACAATACCCAGAGGCACACTGGAAAGAAAGAAATTTTATTACATGTATCCATCCACCACAGACCCTCCTCCTCCTTAACAGCATGGAACATATTGGATTAAACTAAAAACTCCTGGATTCTCTCAAGAGATAGAAAGTAGAGGCAAATGTGCCCATGCTTCTGGCTTTTTCGGGCCTTTTCAAAGACTAATTTCTTTCTCCCATGACACAGACTGCTGAAAGGAATGGTGCTATACTTCAGAAGACAGACTAGGTTTAATGAAACCAAAGGCAAATAACTGTTACAGCAGCAAAGAGAGTTCAGTACCACAGACAGACAAGTGTAGTGATTACAGGCCCTTAAGAAAAAATATGGTAAAATCTTTTTTTTTTTTTTTTGAGACAGAGTCAGACTTTGTTGCCTAGGCTAGAGTGAGTGCCTTGGTGTCAGCCTAGCTCACAGCAAGCTCAATATCCTGGGCTCACATGATCCTACTGCCTGAGCCTCCCGAGTAGTACCACCATACCCGGTTAATTTTTTGTATATATATTTTTAGTTGGTCAATTAATTTCTTTCTAGTTTTAGTAGAGACGGTCTCACTCAGGATGCTTTTGAACTCCTGACCTTAAGCAATCCGCCTGCCTCGCCCTCCCAGATTGCTAGGATTACAGGCATGAGCCACCACGCCCAGCCGAAAATGATAATTAAGATAGATAATTATAAAGCTTTCCAAGAATTACCTTCTAATCACAAAAATATTTCTCTCTCTCACACACACACAATATAGACTCATCAATAAATACATGGTAAATTTAAGACAATTCCCATCACTACTCACCTAGACAGGATTAACAAAAACAAAAAACATTTAGAATCAGCCAGGTAAAGAAATATACAAGATATACAAGACATATACAAAATAATCAAAGTTTGGGTCACACTTATAGAGACAAATGCACACATATATAAATTGGAATAGATAAATAGCTGATTCATATTTTAATTAAACCACGTATGGATTTAAAAGGTATATATGGAGTTGCTATTTCATCCAAAATTAGAATTTATAGGTAAAGCAAAACACACAATGAACTGATGTCAAGGGACATACCTAAAACAGGAAACCCAGTAATATGGAATTGCAAAAGAGGAATAAGAGAAATTATTTAGACAAAATCTCAAGTGTAAACTTTGATATAGAACAAAATAGAAAGTGAAAATGTATATAGAGAGTGACATTAGCAAGATGGAGAAATAGGTAATCTCCTGCTTGTATATTCTCCCACAGCAACAAAAATTTAGATGCCACCCATGGACAAAAGTGCCCTTATGAGGGCCAGGCATAGTGTCTGCAACCTGTAATCCCAGCTATTTGGAGGCTAAGGAAGGAGGATCACTTCAATCCAGCAGTTTGAGACTAGCCCAGGTGATAGAGTGAGACCTCCATCCCTTTATGAGAATTTTTTTTTTTTTTTTTGAGACAGAATCTCGCTTTGTTGCCCAGGCTACAGTGAGTGCCGTGGTGTCAGCCTGGCTCACAGCAACCTCAAACTCCTGGGCTCAAGCAATCCTACTGCTTCAGCCTCCCAAGTAGCTGGGAATACAGGCCTGCACCACCATGCCCAGCTAATTTTTTCTATATATATATTAGTTGGCCAATTAATTTCTTTCTATTTATGGTAGAGATGGGGTCTTGCTCAGGCTAGTCTAAAACTCCTGACCTCGAGCAATCCACTCGCCTTGGCCTCCCAGAGTGCTAGGATTACAGGCGTGCGCCACTGCGCCCAGCCCCTTTATGAGAATTTTGGGTGGGGAGAGAGGATAAGCAAGGAAGAAGGTTGTTAAACCTTGCTAAAGCCCAAGACCAAAGAGGGTTATATTTGAGAAGGCAAACCCTCATTCTGGTGGCACACTTAAGGGAACCTGGTCTTGTCTACAGACCAGAAAATGACCTGATCAACTTTGTACTACTGCTAATTCTTAAGTGACTGTGTAAGCATCTTCAACTTGTCCAAGCCATGGTACAGGAGTGGTCCTGCCTATCCACATACCTGGGAAGAGATGCCCATTTGCAGTCATGGATACAGGCCTGCAGACTTTGTCACTCACTGTGGTCTCTGAAGCAATTCTATGATTCATTTCCAGTCTTCTTAATCACAACACACAGCTAATTCTGCCTACCTAGTGACTGATACAATGACCTGGGGAAAACTGTTCATACATATATTCAGTGGGAGCCACTCTCATACATACACTTGGCATCAGGCCATCATATGAAGACCCAACTGCAATTCTCTGCCTTATGGATCGAAGTCCACAATCCAATCTGCCCAGGAATAAGACGGAGTTGACAACCATCAAAGCCCCTAGTAACAGGTCCACTAATGGGAGACCTCACTGCAGACCAAGAAACAGTGTTTCAAGCCAGCTATCACTACTTTTCTTTGCAAATCCAGAGGACATCCCATCAGTCTGTGAACCCAAGAAGAAAATAACTTTAACAGCTAAAACTGTTCTATAAAAACTGGAAGGAAGAGGTATTTGCTCCTTTAGATGCACAGATACAAATATAAGATTACATTGTGCTTATTTTCAATGCTTCTATTTTATTAAACTATTGGAAGTCCTAGGCAGAAATATCAGGCAAAAAAATTTTGAAAAAGCCATTCAAATAGGAAGTGAAAACGTCACTGTTCACAGATGACATATGTAGAAAACAATAAAGAATATAATAAAAAACTGTTTATACTAAAAAATTCATTCAGTAAATTATCAGGATATTAAATTAACATACAAATATTAGTTGTGTTTTCATACACTTACTATCCAATAATAAAAGAAAAGACAATCTCATTGACAACAGCATCAAAATAATACATTTTTAGTAATAAACTGTACCTAGTGACTGATAAAGTGACTACGTACAGCTTTACACTAAAAAAATAAGATATTGGTGAAAGAAATTGAAGAAGGCACAAATAAATGCAAAGATTTCCCATGTTCATGGATTGCAAAAAATACTGTTAAAATGCTATATTATCCAGAGTGGTATATAGATCCAAGGAACTCCCTTTCAAAATTCCAATGGCATTTTTTCACAGTAATAAAAAATCACAGTCCTAATATTTTTATGGAACTACAATAGACTTTCAATAGACTAAGTAATGTTGACAAAGATGAACAAAGCTGGGGTACCATACTTTCTAATTTCAAAATATATTTCAAAACTTTAGTAATGAAAGCAGGATGATATGTGCATAAAAACGACACAAAAATCAGTGGAACAGAATAGAGAGCCCCAAAGTAAAACCATGCATACAAGGTCAAATAATCTTTGACAAGAGCACCAAGAATGCACAATGCAAAATGTATAGCCTCTAAAATAATTGGTGGTAGGAAAACAGGACACCCACAAGCAAGAGAATAAAATTAGACCATTTTTTACACCATATCCCCAAATTAAATTAAATAAAAAACTGTGTAATTCATAAATCCTTATAATTGCAAAAGAAAACATGTGAAAAACCTTGATATTAATCTTGGCAATGGATTATTTGGATACAACACCAAATGTACAGCAATAAAAGCAAACATAAACAAGTTGGACTGCACCAAACTGAAAACTTTTATACAACAAAAAAACCGAAAACTTACAGGATGGGAGAAAACATTTGCAAACCATATATCTGATGAGAGATTAATATTCAAAATATGTTTAAAAACTCATAAAATTCAAAGGTAAAAACAATAATAATAACCCAATTAAAAAATAGGCAAAAGACTGAAAAGATAGTTTCCCAATGAAGAAATACAAATGACCAACAGTTACATGAAAACATACTCAACATCACCAATCATTAGGCAATTGCAAATCAAAATCATCATGTGATATCAATTTATACCTGCTAACATCAAAAAGAAGAGATAACAAGTTTTGACAAAGATGTGAAGAAAAAGAAATCCTGTACACTGTTGGTGTGTTGTACATGTAGATTAGTTATGAAAACCAGTATGGAAAATATTTTTTAAAAAGAATAACCATACAATGCAGTAGTCCCAATTCTGTGTATATAACAAAAGAAAATAAAATCAGTATGACAAAGAAATATCCACACCCTCATGCTCATTGCAGCACTATTCACAATTGCCAAAAAATATGAAAACAACCTAAATGTTTATGAATAGTAAATGGATAAAGAAAATATGGTGTGTGTGTGTATATATATATATATATATATACACACACACAACAGAATTTTGTTCAGCCATGAAAATATTATTTCAACAACATACACGGACATGGAGGATATTACACTAAGTGAAATAAGCTGATCATAGAAAGACAAATACTGCACGATCTCACTTAAATGGGAAATCAAAAAAAGTTGAACTCAGAAAAGAGAGTACAAAGGTGGTTGCCAAGGCCTGGGGTAGGGAAAATGGGGAGATATTGTTCAAAGGTTGCAAACTTTCAGTTATAAGATGAATAAGTTTTGGAGACCTAATATACAGCACTGTAACTATAGTTAATATTTTGTATCATAAAATTTGCTAAGACAGTAGACCTAAGTCTTCTTAATACTAAAAAAATTATGAAGGGAAAAATATGTTCATTAACTTGCTTTTATTGATCATTTCACAATGTATACACATATAAAATTATATTATACACAATTATACACTTATAGAAATTTTTCTTGTGAAAAAACATGTCACATACACACACATGTATATGTGTACACATATGTATATGTATATAAGTATGCACACACGCACACAGGAATGCCACAGTCCTGGTAAGCTTTATCCTAAATAAGAGAAAATTATAAAATTATAGTTATTATAAAATAAGTACAAAGAGAGAGTTTAATATATGCTCAGCAATATAGCTGGGCTAATGACATAGTATATTTAAGAAAGGTAGAGAGTAAGTATCTGAAACTATATTAAAGTTAGGAAACTAGGACATATAGAGTTTAAAATATTTATCATAGTTCACACAAAAATCCCCCCAGAATTTTGAAGTAAAACATCACATTTAATTATATTTAGAAAGATACTTGCTGTTCTGATAAAATTATTGAATTTTATCAGTATGAATTTCTGTAGAATGACATGTGAAACCTCCATAGTATAGAAAACTATAAAGCAGAAAACATACCACATCTATTTGTGATATTCCTGGGATTTCTGAACCAAATACCAACAACATCACTTCACTCTGACATTTCATATATGATGCTACAGAGAAATTTAAAAATTGTTTCACAGAGAGGTCCTCAGTAATATACAGATATTCCCAAGTCCTTAAAAGCAATGGGAGAGCAGTCAGATCCTGCAGTCTCTTGTAAGCCATCCACAGCACTTTGGTTCCCACTGTAACCTTGACAGAAGATCACTGAAAAGAATCCTTAGAGAATTTAAAAATAAGAACAGAGATGCCCTTATGTGAGAACAAGAGAAAGAAACCCAGGCTTCTCAGAAACCATTTCCATTGGAGCAGAGCTGCTGCAAGCCACATTTTAAGGTCTGGTTTCCACGTTAAACTTGGACCTCTCACCTGTATTATCTCCTTTATTCACTCCCACCTACCTGGGTGTTTGGCTACTGTGCTGTGTGTCTTCACCTTCCAGGGCTCTTTGCTTCGTTCCAGACAGGTGACAAGGTCTAGCTTAGAGACAGTAAGACCTGTTTTATTAGAAAAAATTAATATGAATTTTGTTGGGATTCTCTAATTACCAATCTAGTATTGTGCTCACTAGAAAAACAATAACATTTTAGAAGATTATGAAAAAATTACTCCCTAAAAAAACTGTTTTCTTAGAGAAATTTTAGAATATTCAGGAAGTATTTAACATTTGTGGATTCTTAGTTTCAGTACCCAGTATTACTGAATCAAAAATTGGTGGCAGAAGTTGGATTTTAAGCTGTGGCAACATTACTTTATGCCACTAAATTTCTGAAATGACCATTAATCTAAAGTAAAGGATAAAAATCAGCTCAAAAAACGGAAAGATAAATGTCAAGATAAAACATCTTGAATATTATATTATCTATACCAATGAATCCCTAAGTTTACCTTGGAAACAAGGATCAAAAACTCACTGATGTAAATCAGAAACTCCCTGAAAGCATTCTACAAAGAAAGGATAGGAAATCCTTAGTGTGGAATAGGAATTGCATACTGAAGTTATCCTCACCCACGGAAACCAGGTTCCTGTAGTTCTCTAACATCACGTCCCTGTACAAATTCCTCTGAGCAGGGTCCAGGCATTCCCACTCCTCCAGAGAGAATTCTACGGCCACATCTCTGAACGTCAGCAGTCCCTGAAAAAATACATATTTACTAAGCTGCCCTGGGAAGAATTAATTTCAGTTCTGGTGAAATCAGAGTGAAGGAAATTGGTTCTGACTTATATGAGTGACTAGAATTATCCAATAAGATAATTTTCAACACAGAAATATCTCCTAGTATACTCTATAACACTGAGGAAAAAGGATGTCATAACATACACAAAACCAGTGTAGATACTGTACTTTTTTGGATGGCACAGTATACAAATAGGGCTACCAACACAGGCATGTACATTTTTGAGTGCTTTATTTACATCATACAGGATAAGTTGTACATATTTCCTAGATGGAAAAGTCATGGTGGGTTAGAAGAGATTTCTCAAATTTTAACATGTACAACAATGAACTGGAGATCTTGTTAAAGTGCAGATTTTTATTTGGAAGATATGGAGTAAACCCTGAATTTATGAATTTCTAACAATCTCATCAGGGATGTCAATGCTTTCGGTCCATGAGAATATTTTGTCAAACATCTAGTAAGTGGTAGAGGCTGGATTTATCCCATTTTATTATATCAATAAACAAAGATGAGAGCCTTCATTTTCCAAAGCAAGCTATATGAAAGAGAATCTAAGAAAGGGGATCTTCCACATTAAATGTGATGGCTTATGCACATCAGTTGGTAAATCTCCCCCAAAGTATGTATCAATAATAGAGAAAAATAATTAACTCTATAGAGGAAAATCTGTCAAGGAGGACCTTGACTGAGTGAATAAAATTAATATCAATTTTAACAGGACAAATGAGTATTAGGCACTGATTCACAAAGGGGGACACATCACTGTTATGATAGTAGTAGGCCCCCAAAATAAATTGTAATCAAAATCTAGTCATGAAGAAACACCAGTTCTAAGCAAAGTTCAAGTTTCAGATATCTCCCGTGTTCTGTAATCTCTACGGTGTATTTAAATAGCCTTTTTAAGCATCCTAGAAAGCAAGTCTCTTCTAATTATTCTCTTTTTTAGAACTTTGGGTTATTCCAGGCAATTAATGCCATCTTCTTTAAGAGTGCATATACTTCATCTTGTTCTACATAGAGCTAATGGGGCATCTGGATGGAACCTAAACAGTGCATATTCCTCTTCTTCACTGAAATCCAAGGACCTGACCTCATCCCCAGTAGCATCTTGGGCATCCACACTTTCCCATGTTCAACAGACACAAAGGGAATATTTTAAATATTGCAGGTCATAAATTTATGATGAGAATTTTCCTCAGCATAAAAGAAGCCTGGATTGAGAGAATGGAGATAAGACTCTGCTAGATAGGGAAGAAAGATTTTTCAGAGTCTCTTGGCTATTATCAGAAAAAAATGACAAGAGTAGTTAAAACAAACTCATTAGTCAGGAACATCACAAGTAGAGAAGTAAAGGTTTGCAAGTCCTAAGCACATGGCATCCCAGGAGAAAATTGGACACAGCTCCTGAACTGGGACACATTTACCTGAGAACCAGACATTTTTTCCTCTTACTACTCAGCTTGATTTTCTTCTCAGGTGACATTATCTGGACATATTACACCTGCATCTTGATAATATTTCTTTAAAGGAATCAACACAACCCCTTCACCTGCTACCACCACACCCACAGGTAGAGGGACCTTGACGTGCAGAAAAAATCTGCCCCTTCCTGTCCCTCATCATAGGCAAGACTCAGGAAGGAGCTTCTACACAGAGAACAAAAATGTGAGTTTCTCCTTTCCTGCCCTTGGGTGCCCTCCCCTGCCACAGACACCAGCAGTTTCTGCTACAGCAGTGGGAATATGGGCTGTGCTGACCTGCCCCCACCAAACCCATGCATAGCAGGCCCTGTTAATTCCCTCTGGACAACGGCTGAACTCAGAATTCATGAATGTATCCGAGAGGCCTTATGCTTAACCCTGGTCTCACTTTCGCATCACCTGGGGCACTTAATTGACATCACATGGATGCTCCCCCACCCAGACCAATAGAATCTGTGAGGAGGGCACAGGTGATGGCAGTTCTTCAAACTGGCCATGTGATTCTAATTGAAAGCCTGTGCTGGGAACCACTTAGCTAAATATTGCCTCTCAATCTAAGCAAGTGCAGTGGTGTGATTATAGCTCATTGCAACTTTCAACTCCTGGGCTCATGTATCGTTCTGCCTCAGCTTTCCGAGTAGCTAGCAGTACAGGCATGTGTCATCATACATGGCTAATTTTTGAAAATTCTTTGTAGAGATGGGGATCTCACAATGTTGCCCAGGCTGGTCTGAAACTGCTGGCATCAAGCAATCCTCCTACCTCAGTCTCCCAATGTGCTAGAATTACATATGTGAGCCACTGCCCTCAACCTCCCTTTTCTATTTTATAATATATAATAACAAGCAGTTTAATAAAAACTCTTAATGTTTTCTAGGACAATAATATTAGAAGATAAATATTTATTTAACAATAACAATAATAAAAAATAATAATAACTGTTTTGTCTATGAATAGCCCTTCACACAGTGACATCAGAACTCACAACATAAGGGAAGTGACCCGTATGAAGCCAAAGTCCCCTGCATACCTCCCTTCTTTATATTGGCCACATAATGCTGAATTCAGCCATTTGTCCATTTGTTCTAGACTGCAAGTTCCTGGACAGTAGGGCCCATGACTGCTTCATTTGTTTCTCTAATGTCCATATGAAATGGAAACAATTGATTTTTCCATCAGTTTGTGTCTCCAGACCTCCTGCTTGCTCTTCACTGAGGTACCAGGAAACTGGAGCAACCCAATCTGGGTACCAACAAAGGAGATTCTATGAGAAGAAGAACAAACCTTGGATGACCATTCTTCTTCCTCTGAGACGGAAGTTTAGATGCTGTTCTCAGCCCGACCCCAGTCTGCACAGGACATCCCCAGATGTCTCAAAGACTCCCAGGTGCTGGAGAGAGGGTCCCCAGTGAGCATGAGGTGATATCCCCATGAAGAATGAGATGGCAGAGACTCAGGGTGATTCTGTGGAGCTAGAATAGAAAAGGCCCTGTTGGAACAGCCGACCCTAGATCAAGGTGTAATATTATCTGTCCTTGATCAGTTATTCCTTGGGAATAAGGAAGAAAAAGACTATCCTACTCCATTAACACAGTATAAAGGTAGCCTGTAGTTGTGGTCATGGCTCTGAATATTTTGTTGTGGCTCTATTCTCCAACCACTGAGGTGTTTACTTACACTCATAGATTCTACCACCAAATTCTATTTATATTGGGAATTCTTCACACAACTGAAGCAGTGGACAGTATCTGGAAAACGTGAAGGGCCATTCCAAAAGGGAGACTTACAAAGTCTGTGTTGACCTCTCACAATGCAGAAAATTACTCCCTTGTGTTTTTGTATAACCTCAGTCCAAAGACTGGCCTGATCTTGTGAATCCCAAGTGAAGGCCATCCCTTATGTGACAATTCTAGGTAGAATCAACCTGGCTTTATATTCTTGGGTGTTACAGCAGGGGGACGAAAACTAGAGGAGAGATCCCCTCATGAAAGCTGCTCTGTCACATTCCTGAAGAACCCCACGACCTGGATTCAAAATTTGGAGCTTTAGATTTAGGTCTTGGGGGTGGGGGTGGGGATGCAGCTGGTGTCCTGTGCATATTCCTGGGCATTTGGGAAAGAGGAGAGGAAAGGTGAGATTCTCAGGACTAGTCAATGCACATGTGTAAGCCTGGTTGAGTTTCTGGGCCACTTGGTCTCTGGATCAGTTTCAGGTCTGAAGATACCCTGGTAATTGAAACACAGAGCTAGAATGGCTGACTGCTGCCCGCTGAAGTTATTTTTATAGAAATCTAATTGCTCTAGAAGAGAGATTGCAATTAGGCAGAGACACCATTGTAGTTTCAGATACTGGGGACAGGATGTACTTTACTGAACAATTGTGGGTTGTGACTGGAGACAGCCAGGGAAAGGGCCCTCTAGAGTGAGACACGTTGGACATCTTTTTTTTTTTTTTTTTTTTTTTTTGAGACAGAGTCTCGCTTTGTTGCCCAGGCTAGAGTGAGTGCCATGGCGTCAGCCTAGCTCACAGCAACCTCAAACTCCTGGGCTCGAGTGATCCTTCTGCCTCAGCCTCCCGGGTAGCTGGGACTACAGGCATGCGCCACCATGCCCGGCTAATTTTTATATATATATCAGTTGGCCAATTAATTTCTTTCTATTTTATAGTAGAGACGGGGTCTCGCTCTTGCTCAGGCTGGTTTCGAACTCCTGACCTTGAGCAATCCGCCCGCCTCGGCCTCCCAAGAGCTAGGATTACAGGCGTGAGCCACAGCGCCCGGCCTGGACATCTTATATATTTATATTATGCCTAGTAATTCTGGATGGTGCATGGGAAATATAACTAAAAACATAATCATCTTCAACCCCAAATAACTCTCTATGATGGAAGAACAGAAAAAACACTTATATTACACAATTAAACCAGAATGTGGTATGTGTCTCAGATAATCTGCTAAGAGACTGCCAAAAAAAAAAAAAAAAGTCACCATAATTAGTTCTCAAGTAGAAGACTTGACAGTGCCATTTGTGATATATAGTTCATCCTAAGTTCACCTGGTAATTGGAAAGGCCACCTCGGTTTATTAATTGGCTATATTCAAAGGAAAAAGAACTTCATATCTTCATGATAGAAGATAGTTTTGAAACTTGCAGCCAGGTGCCTACTAAAGGGAGGCACCTATACTACAACAGAAACTAGAATAGGATGCTGTCTTCTTGACTATTTACATTTGAAAGCCATTATTCCTGGGTCCTAGAAAAAGACAACCCTGGGTTTTAAAAAATGACAAAAAGCTAATTTAGCTGGTAAAATGATGTGTATATATTTCAAAGAGACAGGGAAAACATTTACATATAAAATTTTCTAAATTAAGAGCTTTAAGAAAAAGGAAAAGAGCAAAATGTCTTCCCATATTTTCAAGTTGAAGGATTCAGTCTGGTATTTCTAATTTGTATTTGCTTTTACAACAGCCAGGTCTAGAGCCATGGCCTTGAATTCATGGAGATAATTCCAGGAGGTACTAGATTCATGTACCAAAGGAGTAGCCTTAGCTACACTGTGCACACAAAAGAGGGTTTGTGGGGAACAAAAGAGTAGAAGAGAGACAGGTGCTATCAAGGACCCATGGGTGGGGGACAATGTAGAGTTGGTGAAATGATTGGTTGGTACTGTGAAAGAAACTGAAAATCTCAGAACCATCCCCCAACTCCTTATGGAAAAGTTAAGGTCAAGCCTGAAGGCTGAGTCATGCAATATCCTGTTCCAAATGAATAGCTGTTACTAACAATATGCATCAACCAGAACCCCATGGAAAGGTAAAAGGTCTCAGGCATCTACAAGGACTGCTCCCATAGATCATTCATTATGAAATTTCTTGCTGGCTTCCCATTAGCAAGAACAGGTATATTGTAACTTTTGTTCTGCAGACTAAGTCTAGCTCCTAAAACTTAAGTCTGTTCAATTCCACACTAATAATGTTGATTACAAGCTTATCTTCCCAGGTGTAGGACAGAGACAAGATCAAATGTTCTTTCACCCACCCAGAGACACCTACATAATTGATTCTTTCTTCACTCTTATTTTTCTTCTTCAAACATTCACATTATCTTATCTAAAATGTAAAATTTCTGGGCCTCAGAAGAATATAACCATTTTGCCTCACTGTCCATGCCCCTTCTCTGCTTTTCTTCTCTATACCTTGTCACCTTAAATACTGAAGTTCTCAAATGCCCCTTCAGAAAAAGTCAAAGATACATCTGTGGTTTGTGTTTTTTCCAGGAGTGTCCTCAAGCTTTGGCTTAATAAACTTCCATTGATTTATATCTTTGTCTCAGTTACTTATATTGGCTTGCCAGAGTGAGAGATGCTATCCCAGACTGGAATATGCTCTGGTTCATTCCTGTGCCATGTTGGCAGATGAGATTATCATTGGGTGGTCCAGAGTGTGGACTGATGGAGGACCAGGTTGCTGCTACAGATTTCTCTCAGCATAAAGGGCTCCTCCCATGTGAGCTTCTCTCTCTCATGGCTGGTGTGAGGAGGCTGAGATACCTACAAGGAGACTCCCTGGGCCCTCCATAACCACCTTTTTAAGATTCAAGATTGACCTCAGCTTAGTAATTGGGCTCAGACCTCTGGTTCCCAGTCAAGGTTATTCGCTTAGTTTTGGATGAGAAAATATCCAGTGTTTGAAAAATTCAGCAAAATTCTGCAAACTCAGTGTTGAGGTTTATATGATGGAAGAAAATTATAAAGCACTGACATTTCATACTACAACATGAAAAAGCAAAATTTTCTATCCTTGTCAAACAATAAACATGAGATTTAGTTATTACTTCCATGAAAATAAATCATTTAGTAAACAATCATATGTGAACATTTCTAGGAGTTTTCAAGTGCCATCTCACAGGATTTAGCATTAAACTCTAACTATCAGATAATAAAAAACAGAATAGAGCTAACCACTGTCACAAATTCTCCATTCTGCAAAAAAGAAGAAATGATGTTTTCATGAATCTGTGTAATTCACCAATTTATATACCACACTTTCTTGTGGAAATCTATTCATCTTTAAGAAGCCATAAAGTAAAATGGACTTTGTCTTTTTTTTTTTTTTAGCATTCCAAAGCTAAGCTCCAGACTTCCATTTGAAATCACCCCAAAAAAAGAACAGATCTCAGAAACATTCTGGGGGTGGGGGAGGAGGTAAATAAGATTTTTTCTGAAATGGAATATATGACTACATATTTAATTCCCTTTTCTGAATTCCACTTCTGTCTTGCATTTTGAGAATCAAAAAAAAATTTTTCAAGCTGTATGGATGAATTGGATTTTACAGTTAATGTAAAACTGGAGCTGAAATTGAGCAACAAAGCTTTTCATGGCAACAAATTCAGGGAGTGGCAGAGGTGACTAGAACACACAGACATGTCTGACTCAAGTGTCAAAGAAGGTCATCCTATCCCCTGGGACTCCCGCCCCATCCTTCTCACTCAAGTGCTCAATGACTACCCTCCCAAGAAAAACTGCACTGTGCCTTCCAATGTGCATGAAGTTTGTACTGCTTTGCAAGTTGTTGCACCACATGCTGGTACATTATCCTCATCATTTGGGATAGTTTTTGTTCCTTCACATGTCTGAGAGAATCCAGAAGGTGGGAATGATTAGTACATTTTCCCCTGAATACTAGCATCTTGATGGGCTGACAGGCAATGTGTCCCCAAGAAATGAAAACTGAAGCTGGGACAATAAAATCTTAAAGTACCAATGGGTTAGCTTTTTAGGTGAAGGGAATACCAGGAGACTCCTTTCAAATTCAAGGGCATTCAACTCTTTCCCTGAAAGTCTCCACCCCTGTAACCCAAGCTGTCCTCTGTGAGATTACCCAGAGACAGATATTCACTGGACACTCCAAAAACTATGGCTGCTATGGAAATCTTGGATGATCCCCAGACAAGTGTGAAGCCCAGGACCAGGAAAAGATAGTACGGTGGCCAAGACCAAAGTTGCCAAAGGGAAACCTCAACCCAAAGACAGCCTGGTAAGATGTATATGCCTAGGGGATGATAAAAGGAGGAGAGGCACAAAGACTTTTGTGCCTCTTATGGCACAGCAGGGTGTCATAAGATTATTGTCTGCTTTCTTTTCATGTGAAATAATCAGAAACAGCAAACAAATATTTTTAAAACAATTACCCACTGTTATGTAAAGAAACAACAAACAATTAAATACTGCATCAGTTTGAAATGGGCAATAAAGGAAAAACAGTTGATAATGTGGATTGGATGAGAACTTGGCATTTGGAAATGTGGGAAAGAAACAGAAAATTTAGGATTTTACTGCCTGACTTAAGAGTTAGGCTGAGGGAACCAAGTAGTAGATTCAGACCCAGCTTGCCATACATTAGAAAATGCAGGGAAAACCAGTGCCACTCTGGAGTGTTAATATAAGTAGAAGGCAGTCAGACTAAAATGGTTCTAGTGCCCTGCATTCTTTCCTAAGGAAACCAAAATCTAACTCAAATTTATTTCTTATAAATTACCAATGTAGGGGCCAAGAAAAAACCTTTCCCTCCATTCTTTGAAAGTTCCCTGAATAGCAACTGACAAAAGGCAGATTAATAAGAGAAAAGGTATACAAATTTATTAAGATGTGTGGGGAAATCACAAAGTGATTACCTCGACCTCCCACTATGGTACCCTTAAATACCCTTTTTATGAAAGAGGGAGGAGATGGGGAATGTAGGCCATTCTTTTGAGAAGCAAAATGATTATTAGGGAAAGTGACCAGGGAAAATATCAGGGAAAAGAAATTAACTTGTAAATGATTATTTTTGTAATTTGAATGAACCCTGAGGCAGGCATTATGTTGAGAAAAAAACTATTCAGGAGTGGTAGTATTATCTATCGGTACTGGATAATGAGATGACGGGAAGGCGACAGAAGGCAATAGTGTTTATTTTATTTTATTTTATTTATTTATTTATTTATTTTTTGAGACAGAGTCTCCCTTGTTGCCCAGGCTAGAGTGAGTGCCATGGCGTCAGCCTAGCTCACAGCAACCTCAAACTCCTGGGCTCGAGCAATCCTTCTGCCTCAGCCTCCCGAGTAGCTGGGACTACAGGCATGCGCCACCATGCCCGGCTAATTTTTTATATATATATTAGTTGGCCAATTACTTTCTTTCTATTTATAGTAGAGACAGGGTCTCACTCTTGCTCAGGCTGGTTTCGAACTCCTGACCTTGAGCGATCCGCCCGCCTCAGCCTCCCAGAGTGCTAGGATCACAGGCGTGACCCACCGCGCCAGGCCATTTTTTAAAGAATTATTTGCTGTACCCCAACATTAACTTAAAGAGAAAAAAAATTTAGGCTTAACCAACCACAAACAGGAATTATCCTGATTACAAAACCAGGAAATTTCCACCCGGATAGTCCAAACAAGGCTGACACATACCTGCAACCCGTCGTTACGGAACTTGGTCTGCTTCCTAGTAGGAGCCTTTCCTGCAAGCCTCTCCCCCGGGGACCCTCAAAGTACGAACGTGGCGGGGAACTTGGATTCTTTCCTGGTCGCTGTCTGCTCAACCAAAATAAACTCTTTACCACTCTCATGGTGCCTCACTTTGTTTTTAACAAGAGAAGGAGGGACGGGGACCCAGGGCCCACAGCTCCTTCCACGCACAAGACCCCCACCAGGATCCTCCGCCGGCGGCCTCCGTCGTCACCTCACAGCGGGGCGGGCCCGCAGACAGGGCTGCGGCGGGGCAGCCGCTCCCTCGGGCCGCCCGCGCCGGCGGGGACGAGGGTCACGGGGTCACGCTGCGCCGGCGGCCAATCCCGTCCGAAGGCTCCGCAGCTGAGGCCGGGAGGACCCGGCCGCCACGGCCACTTCAGGCCAGCTCCAACCAGACCCTCACGGCCCCACGCCCACCCGGCCCACACTCACCATTCCCAGCTGCTGGGGGCTCCTGGGGTTCTCCCTATGGATCTCCCAGTACCTGCAGGTCACAGGATGACACAGGCTGCGAAAGGGACACCTGGGAGCTCCGGAGAGAGGACCCCTCGCGGGTTCCGGGGCCAGGGACAAAGGCCGAGCCAGATCCTGGAAGCCGCCTTCTTCTTTCTGGCTGCGCATCTGATTGGGCAGTTCTCAATGCAACATCTCTGATTGGATAGGGCCCAAGGCCCCACCCCTCCAGCCATGAATGACAGGAGATGAGATCAGAGTAACAGGTTCCTGGTTGGAGCTCTTTTTAGGAAGGGCTTTCCCCTGCTCTGGGACCTCACCCTGCCTGGGGTTCATTTGTGTTTAACCTTGAATGTAAATTGTATCCATTTATGAAATACACACACACACACACACACACACACACACATATATGGAGAGAGAGAGTGTGTGTAAATATATGTTATTCACAAATGGAAACCTCATAATGAAAATTATTTTAAAGTTTGAGATTTTGTAAGCGTCCAGGTCTCTAGTTTTTTGAGGAGGCAGCCTGAGCATTGAAAATGGAGGCACTCATCTAAGGCAGCAATGTTAAATTGAATAAAATGTGAGCCACATGTTTCACTTAAAATTCTCTAGTAGCCACATAAAAGAAAAGGAAACAAGTGAAATTGATTGCAATAGTTTAACCCAAAATAACCAAAATATTACTGTTTTTATATTTGGTAAATAAAAAAATTATTAATGAAGTATTTTTTTGGTACTGTATCTTTAAAAACTCATTCTCTGTTTTAAGTGTGCAGCGTATCTCAGTTCAGACCAGCCACATTCCAGGGACTCAGTAGCCTCCTGTGACCAGTGGATGCCAAATTGAAGTGCAGCACTCTCTGAGGGCTCTGATTCTCCTGACCTCAGAGAGGTGAAGGGCCCAAACCATGCTTTCTTTGTGAAAGGCATAAGAGTATCCTCTCTCTACCATCATCTCTTCTCAGGCCCAAGGGTGGGAGGGACTGTGCACCAAGGGAGCAGGGTCTGCAAGCAGGAAGTGCCGACAGGTAGACCACCACTTGCACCTGCTGCTTCGTGGGAGCCCATCCCTCTTCCAGAAATCATGCACTGAACAAAAAATGATGGGGCTCCAGGAGGAGGGAACCCCAAGATTATGGTTACAGAACTGTGCAAATACACTACAAAGTATGAAATATATACTTAAAGCATGTGATTACTGTGACTGGGCAGGTTCATCGTGAGACTCAAGCTTTTGAGAAGTGTCTGAAGTCTGATAAGTATATTCAGGGCCTCCAGCGCAACCCACATACTGACCCAATGGCCAGGCCTTGAGTCTCCAACAAGGGCACTGGTGGCTACAAAACTAGTTCCTCCTCTTCCTGTGGCCTGCACAAAGCAGCAGAGAGCTCAGGGCTGGGCTGGGAGCCAGGGCTGTGGAGCCCAAGAGCAGCAGCAGGTAAGGGCCTGGCCAACATCTGCCCTTCACTTAAGCAGGACTTCAGCACCTGGGTGTGGGCCAATGAGGGGAAAACCTGATGGTCTTGTGGCCACAGAGCACATGCTCTCAGGCTTGTGACATTTCTACTTTAACTTATAGAAGACGCACTGCTCTAACTCACAGATTGTTAGGAAAATGTAATGGTGTCATCAAGGTAAGAATGACATTTCTTAGTAACACCCACAGACACAATCTTGCACAAAGATTGTTGCAGCACCATTGTCTATACTTGGAAGGATATATAGAGTGCTCTCTTCAAATTCTAGTGCTGCACTGCCCTCTACACATTCACCTGTGATTGTCACACCCAGATCTGATGACGAAACTCAAAATCCATCACTACAATGTGCAGGAAGATGTTTGCCTTTTTTCTTTATGGAATGGAGCTGATGTGCTGTATCTTAGACATTTTTATTAAAAAATTTATATACTTTATTTAAACATTACAATAGAAATGCAAACATCTTGCACAATAGTAGAGATAATTGTATAATAAAACCCCTCACAAGTAGTACCAATCAAAAAACTTCCAAAATTTTTATTATTTTGCCATCATTTTCAAGGACCATTATCAGTCATCCTAGTGGCATTTTAAAGTCAATATAATAGTAAAACTAATTTTACTATAAAATTAGTTTATAGTAATTTCCCTAACCATATCTAATGAATCAGGAAAAGCTAATGCAAATATTGCTATCCTACCTAAAAATTAGAAATAATTTCTTGATATTAAATAAAAACTTGGTTTCAGTAAATTTTGTGTTTGAAATTCTAGGGGTCTACAGCCACCATAGACTTTGCATGACACACCTTAATGCTTTTCATACAAACCATATTTAGCCTAGAGACTCAAGTGACAAAATTGAATATATTTATTGAAGATAAAAGGCCACAGATAGATCATGATTACTGACAAAATTGTCAATTGAATGGACAGGTATTCCAAAGTACTTTATTCTGAAAACAGTTACAAGACAGAAAAAAAAAGATATACAGACTCTTGAAAATAATGTACATAAAAGAAGGATGAAAATTTTGCTCAGCGTTCAGAGGAAGAGAATGCAGTGTCTAACCAAAATTTTGGCCCTGCTGGACATGGAGAGAGAAAACAGAGAGAGAGAGAGAGAGAGAGAGAGAGAGAGAGAGAGACATTGATGGAGTGAGATTGTTTCAGAGAGAACAGCCTCAAATTTTATTTTATTTATTTATTTATTTATTTATTTTGAGACAGGGTCTCACTTTGTTGCCCAGCGGAGAGTGGCAGCGTAGCCTGCTTACGCAACGCAAACTCCTGGGCTCAAGCAATCCTCCTGCCTCAGCCTCCCAAGTAGCTGGACTACAGGCATGCACCACCATGCCCGGCTAATTTTCTATACATATTATATCGTTTGGCCAATTATTTCTTCTATTTATAGTAGAGATGGGTCTCGCTCTTGCTCAGGCTGGTTTCAAACCTGACCTTGAGCGATCCTCCCACCTTGGCTCCCAGAGAGCTAGGACTTACAGGCATGAGCACCGCGCTCTGGCCTCAATATTGAAGATCTATATTAGAAGAAGCGAATGTGTATTCTAGAATTGATGGCAATGTCCTTGAGAGCAGGAGAGCACTTAGGTGGCGAGAAAGAGAGAAGAATACTAAGGATGAAATGAAGAATGAAGTGGTAGAAAAGAGGGTTAAAATAAAATGGGATTTTGTATTTGAGGATCGAGCGATAATTAGTAGATCTCAGCATGGATCAAGCTTCAGCGTGAAGGTGTCAGCGTGTCACACTACCTTAGGAATATGATGTGAAACTGTGCACTGGTCACTTGGCAAGAGCTATACATTGCCATGTAACGTTTCCCTTCCATGGTGTACGTTACAGTCTCGTCTCTCTAGTCTTACTTGTTAGGCTGAAACCATGTTACGCATTCAAAGATGAATATATTCATACTTGGGCTAAATGGCAGGAAATTAATAGTTGAGGAGAAGAGAAACAGCAGGAGCCCATTCAGGAGGCTGGTGCAGGCATCACTGTGAGAACTGTTGTGGCCCAAACCAGGGTGGACCCAGTGGTAATAGTGAGAAGGGTCACTGTGTGTAGTATGCTGAAGTACTTGCTGTTAGTTTGGTTGTAGAATGTGAGATAGAGATAATAGTCCAAAATTAATCAAGTCAGTGGTGCTTGGCTAGAAACCATGAGCGTGTTGGCTGTAGATAAATTTAGAACAATATAGAAAGCTTTGATGAGCAGGGGCACGGTGGCTCACGCTGTAATCGGTAGCACTCTGGAGTGAGTTGGGACGGATTGCTTGAGGTAGGTCAAACAAGCCGAGCAAGAGTGAGCCCCGGCTCTACTATAAGAGAAAGAAATTAATTGGCCACAAAAGTATATATATATAGAAAAAAGATAGCGGCATGGCGCGCAGGCGGTGGATGCTTGAGCAGGAGGATTGCTTGAGCCCAGGAGTTTGAGGTTGCTGTGAACTAGGCTGACACTACAGCACTCACTGTAGCCTGGGCAACAAAGTGAGACTCTGTCTCAAAAAAAAAAAAAAAAAGCTTTGATTGTCATGTTGTATAAGCAGGGAATGTTGATTTAGAAGTTTCAGTATTTTTAAGGTGTAATTAAAGTTAAATGAGGTCATAACAATGGGGCCCTCATCCAATAGGACCAGTCCTTATAAGTAGGGGAAAAGACAAAGACATCTGTGCACACAGGTAAAGTTCGTATGAAGAGGCAGCAAGAGGGGCCATCTGCAGCCAAGGGGAGAGGCCTGAGGAGAAACCAAATCTGCAAACACTTCAGGTTGGACTTTCAGCTTCCAGAACTTTGAGAAATGTTTCTTTTGTTTAGGCCATCAAGTCTATGGCATTTTTCCCCGTAAAACTGTGGTTCAGAAGGAGATTTTTTTTTTTCAGGGTACTATGAGAGTATAAACATTTTGGTTACATTTTCTATCTTTGCCTCTCCATAGCCAGGGTTAGAGGCATGCCCTTCCCCTTTACAATGCTCACTGTGTCCTCTAGTTGTGAGTTAATCCCCCACAACCCCTTAATCCCCGGAGAATATTATTACCCTGTGAGCACCATAGTGTTGATCAGTCAGTACCAGTTTGATGGCGAGTATAAGTGGAACCTATTCTTCTGATCTTGTGTTACCTCCTTTCGGATAATGGGCTCAAGCTCAATCCAGTAAAATATAAGAGGTGTTAGATCACTGTCATTTCTTATAATTGAAAATATTCCATTGTATACATATACCAAATTTTAATAATCCAGTCATGAATTGATGGGCACTTGGGTTGTTTCCACATCCTTGCAGTAGTGAATTGTGCTGCCATAAACATTTGGGTACAGATGTCTTTATTATAGAATGTCCTTTGCTCTTTTGGGTAGATGCCTAATAGTGCTATTGCTGGATCCAATGGTATTTCTATTTTTAGCTCTTTGAGGTGAAGGAGGTATTTTGTAATGGAAGCCCTTGCATACTAATACAGAAAAGTAAGCTTACATGTTTTCAACATTTAATATGAAGCTGAAGTAATCAAGACAGTATGATATTGGTATTAAGATAAGCAAATCAACCAATAGAACCTAATATAGAATCCAAAATAAACTCTCACATATATGGGCACCTGATCTTTGACAAACATGC